GTGAGTCATCATTTTACCCTATCTTTACTTTCGTTTCTTTATCACCTTCTATGCTCATTGTCTCTCCAATGTCTCGTGGAGATGTCTCGGCAAGCTCGCGAAACACCCACCAGAGCTTCACTAATTTGGCCCGATGACTCTTCTTGGGGAGGCTTTCGAGCCGCGCGCTGCTTAACTTTGCCGCCTTAACAACTCGCTGAAATGTCGAGCTCGCTGCTCTAATATTAAAAAATCACGCACTGTCCGGTTATTAATTTGCGCTATTATTTAATCATTTATTCAGTAATAAATACGCGATACTGGAGTATGATTTAGGTGCGCGAGTATAGAAAGATATTAGCTTGCACGATACATCGCAGGTTTGGGTGTGGATAAATATATATTTGATTTATTAAAGAAATATACTGATTTATCGAAGAAGCATAAAATGTGCAATGACGAATTTTCTCCTCACCTATATAGCTATCCTTTAATTGTTTTTTATTATTGATAATTGTAATTGTACGAGGATGCTGAATTTTTACTATTTAGTGGATGAGCAGAGCGTCGATACTGGTTTTAAATTTCTTTACTTTTAAAATACTTGGAATTCATTATTGCCAATTAGTATAATTGGAAATACTTGGAATGTACGGGATTATGTTTGTTTCAATTAGAGTGTAAGGAATTGTATTATATAAAATAATCCAAATATGGAAAGAACATCCACTTTTACGTCAATAAATCTGCAATTAAAATATTGAAAAAAAAAAGAATATAATGCTTTCTTTCCTTTAACTCTTGGAAATGAGTTAATGCTTTTAAACGTTTGGCACGATACACCGATGAATAAATGATGTTTTGTTCGAAAGTTTAGAACTTCGTTTATTTATTCAACCCTCACATTCAACAGGTCCTGAGACATTTCTCAAATCGAGAAATGAGTTAAAAAAAATGATAAAATTGATTTTGACCGTGACAATCATTGTTCCTTCATTAATAATATTATAGTGATGCAAAAAAGAAGCATAATGAAAAATGTTATTTTTCCTCTTTCTTCCTCCCTCACCCCCTCTACTTATAATATCATATAATTGCAGTAGTATGACAATATCGCTAATAACGAACTTCTATAACATTATAATATACTATAATACAATCATGAAATTATTGTACATCATTTAAAATATGTTACAATTCTAGTTTATGCATATAAAGGCAAAATTAATTTATGTATGTATCTATCTATCTATCTATCTATCTATATATATATATATATATATATATATATATTCCTCGAATAATTTTAAGCGCAACGTAGACTGGCGAAAAACGTGAATATTATAAATAAATATTATAAATAAATATATAAATAAATATTATAAATAATTATAAATATATTATAAATATTTTGAAAATTATCATATTTCTAAGAATATGGAGAATATTAACAATCCGAGTACATACACGCGCAAATATTTATTAAAAAAATGCCGATAGCGCGAAATTATAATAAAGTCCTTATGGCATAACACGGTGACAATGGTCATTGAGCACAATGATTCTTAATTAATTCAAGAAGCTACAATTAGCGCAACTAGCACGCCATGCGCATTACAGCCCAATAAACGGAATCTTTGCAGTCCCTCCATATCTAAACGGGGCTATTTTTGAAAATCATACGACCCGTGGATAGAGAATAGTCCGCGACAACTCGGTTGTCAACTCACAGTTTCAAAGACGAATATTACAATGGCATCTTGTACCGCCTCACCCCATCGTGGCAGCCCTAATTGAGTGTAACCAAGCCTTTAGAGCTTTGTTCCTTGATATTTCTTGACTTTGCATTTGTGTCGTTCGCCGAATGGTCGCATCGGCAGCAGCCCCTATGAGCCCGTGAGAAAGCTCGGCTCTCATTTCCATGTGTCATCTCCACGACGCCTAGCCGCGGCCTTTTAACCCAAGCTTTCGCGGTGTCGCCTCTCAAGGACAGCGGAAATTAGCCTATCTGTATCTACATCTGCCTATCGTCTCTTTACTCATCCCCATCTCGCAAAAGATAATATCCTCGATGATGCTCTGTCGACTCCGAAAGTCCAATTCAGAAATCAGCGGTTGCTTTGTCTTAACGGGAGATTGGAGTTTCGTTTGCTTAAAACGGACTATCCCGTAGCTAACGGCAATTTGTCCACTTTCCTTTCACCGCGCTTTTCCTTCGATACCAAACTATTCCACTCAATCCTAACTACACTTGCTCTTATATAGCATTAGCTTTCAATAGATTATTCATTATTTAACATTTTAATCTATTCGACCGAAGATGTCTTCACCGACGCCTCATCCATTTTCATTCAATGCTCGTTTAATTTGGACTAACCGTATATACCTTTTTAGAGACATCGTCTTACCTATTTAACAACTATCTGATATTATATTTTTCATTTCTCCCGTTTAACTCAAGTTTAATAAAGCAACGACAATAATAATAATAAATATAATTATCTTTATTATTATACACGATGGCATTTAATTTGATTGTGTTTCGATTTCAACTTAAAAGCAATAACTAAGTTAACTTCTTAAAATCAACGACCTTTTTTTAATCAGTGCCACGCAAAATATATGCATTACTAAGTCTAATCATCCTAGAAGGATCTTCAATTTGCATTTTTTATTAATACGAATTTTTTTTTTTTGTATAAATAAAGTTCTTTTTTATCGTTATAAAATTTCGATCGAGTTAAAATTAATCTCGGAGTTGAATTGTAATTTACCAAGTTAGAAGGAAATTAAATCATTTGCGCTTCTGTACAATTTTAGTTAAATAAAAAAAAAAATAATAATAATAAAACAAAGGAATAGAAGAAAAAAAGAAACGAATAATAATCATTTGAAGATAATACGAGTTTTAACTTTTAATATTTAATTTTCCTTTTGTGAAATTAATTTTGCAATTTACAGTATTATAAATGAACGACGATATTCATTATTATAAATTCAAATCAAGCGTTTCATACGGTTTTTCAGTAGCGTAAATTAATTTACAATTTTAAAAGCCAAACAAATAAGTCAATTTAAATATTCCCTTCAATAAAAAAATTAATGTATGTATGTATGTGTGAGCGTGTGTGTGTGTGTGTGTGTGTGTGTGTGTGTTCCACACTGAATACGAATTAGTTTTAATTAAATTTTATACACCGATATCCTGTGCAAATGATGAAAATCTTAAAATTGTGACAACTAAAGGATTATTATATTTAATTAATGCTTTATTGTAGAAATAAATTTTAAACACGTCATTTTGATGATATTTATGCCTCGAGCATCAATATCCGTATAAATAGCCTCGCTAAGAAGCAATAATTTTGCAATTCTAGATAAATATGATGAACGAACTTATGAACGTTATGAACGTAAGACATAAAAACGATTTCTTTTATAATAAAGTAAAACTAGCACTTTTTTTTATGTAATAGATTATTGTTATGCTTTGATTGACTGATACTCATTTGAGAATGTCTCATAATTCGTTAAGTTTCTATTTAAAGCTCATAATGATATATGAAAGTCGTATTTCTTATTACGACTGAGAACTCTTTTTATTGTCTATTGTAATTGATTTTCTTGTACGTAGAAAAGGAGCTATTTGTAGCTGATGCTTTTACTCGACTACAAATAAACATTGAAGTCATTAACTGCAGTTGTACTTGAATGTAAGTTTTTTTTTTTTTTTTTGTTGACTTTATACTATCATCGCTTAGTTATCTGCATTAGTGATATTGTCGTTGAAAGTCCCGTATTAATCCAAAGAACCTTTTCCATTTATCTCTAGCTTATCGAGGCTACAAAGTAAAAGATTTTGCCTAATCATAAGCACGCGGGGGAGTTTGGAATACGCAAGTAATTTTTGTAGCCTTGAAGGATAAAGTACTCAGCCTTTTATTGACGAGCATATACATATTATCGTATGTGCGATATTAAAGATACATTCCTAAATCTTCCTCCTCAAAAAGATCATTATAAATCATTATGTTAACGATTGCCAGATATTGGCACGATGTACGGTATCTTTGGTTTTCGGCAGTAAATAATAGAACTTACGACTTAAGGTTTAGAGCCCTTGTAAATTTTCAATTGAGAAGAGAAAATCGCCATTTGTCTAAACAATGTTAAACGCAAGGAGGGGATAGAGAGATGATGCTAAAATCGTGCGATTAAACGCGTCGTTAGGGAGGTATTTGTTTGCGACCGGCACACAAGCCCATTGCTTCCAATCGCTTACCATTCTCTATAAAAAAGCATGATAATCTAAGCACGATCATTGGCTGTCACTAATAATGGCTAATTTGCGAGTAATGGCACGTAATTAATGTGTCATCGACACGTCAAATCACGCACTCGATGCGCAATAATGACGTGCCGTGGGCAGCGCGCGCCGAAAGAAAATATGGCACCAGGCCAATATAGGACACATGTTGGTAACAAACTTGGCTCGTCGGTGGGGCGGCGCCCCGTAACTTGGGAACTCGTAGTAGAGGGTCGCTTCGCGACGCGACGCCCGAGACAAAGGGACATCCAGGGGCAGGATTTCGAAACAAGCCGAGGAGCGAGCCAGTGTTAACTCGGAGGCAGGCTCGGTTAATCGAATGATCGGTAACCGAGTTATAAAGCAATCTGCATGACTCATCTCTCTTTCTCTCTCGCGTAGCCTTGGGACCCGTAGCGATAATTGCCGCCGATAATGGAGTTAGTAGGCGCGGGGATTGCTGGCTGTAGTTGAGACGTCTAGTCGCGAGTCTGCAACCGCGCAAATGCCCACGCCCTTATACTTTGTTCCTTTTCTATATTATTGTCGGTGGAGATTGAATGGCTCGCTCTGGGCGATCGCAGTTTTTCAGGATGGCGGATAAATGGCCGAGCAAAGCGAATTAGATTTAGCGGTACCGAGGTCCTCGATCGAGAAATTTCGTGGCCACTCTAACGATTTCAATAATTACGGAATTTGCAGCTCATTATTGTGC